GGGTTTAGGGTTTAGGGGCTTCTTCAGGGGTTGAGGGACGAGGGGCTGAGTGTTTAGGGTGTAGGGGATTCAAGTTCTGAGACCATTACGCATCTCTTCACCCTCAAGCCTAAAATCTCTAAACCCTAAAACCCTAAACCCTAAACCCTAAAGAGTTTAGAGTTTATATCAATCCCAGGTTTGGTTGAGGTTGGGCAGGAAATGGCTTGAGGCGCGAAGGGGACCACGACTGCTTGAGCTTAGCCTTGAAAACGACCAGGGTTTAGGGTTTAGGGATTGAGATTCTGGCTTAAGAACGTATGGCTATAAAGGGGTTTCAGGGTGTAGGGTTTAGGGTTTACGTTAGGGTTTCAGGGTGTAAGGTTTTAAAGAGGCAAAAGGCCCTGGTACTTCCCTCCGAAACAGGTTTAATCTGATCAAGACTATGAAGAAGAGATAGGAAAGCCTTAGGGTTTTTTTTTTTTTGAGCGCCTTTTTCCCTCATCCCTCGCGGTCTAAAGGAACGTCTGTTTCAGACGAGACGAACTTATGCCTCCCTCAGGCTTCCACTGCGACCGCACCGAACACATTCTTGGTAACGACCATCTTCGACTCAATCTGCATTCAGCCCGACTTCACTCGCATCCCCATTCTCACCCGCTTCCACCACCGAGCTTTGTACCCCAATCGGCTCCACCCCTGGTTCCACCTCGCCGTTGTCCGATGCTTCTCCCAGCCCACTTTGTAGACCCCCGAAGTGCACATTGGCGGACGTCACAGCCGGCTCCAGAACCACAGTAGAAATATCCGACTCCGGAATATCATCCACCATAGAAGCGGACAATTGAAGTCGTAGGCGACCTTCCGGAGGGATATCAAAGACCTGTCGGCGGGTAGATCTCGGGCCATCTTGCGATCCAGAGGACACTTCAATTTCAACCACGCAGCGTTTCCTCCGTGGTAAGGGTGGTTGACCAGCATCTTGTTGCATGGCATTGTTGAGCTCCCAGTCTTCCCAGGCCTGGTAGGCAGCGGCTTGATACCGTAGCAGGCACTCCTCCTCCCGCCTGTAGAACTCGGCCTCCTCCGCCCGTGCTGCCTCCTCCTGTTGGCTACGTTCCGTCTCCTCATGCTCCATCGCCACATGTCGATCCACAGCACCGGCATCCGAGACATTCACGCCTGCATCTTGGCTATCGACCCCAATGACCCCTGTTGCAGTGGCCTCCGTATTCAGTCCAGAGAGGTGTTGCCCAAGCATGTTCCCCCAGGCTGCCAGCCAAGCCTCGTCCACTGTAGCCCTGATCTCGTCCACCTCATCCGCCATTGCGATCAACAAGGCATCCAGTTGTTCTTGCAGCGGTCCCCACGGTCCTGACCCAACACCTCCCCGAAGGCGCGCTCGAAGATGAGAAACATGTGCAGCGCGTTGTGCTTTTTGTTGCCCTGCCAGCTCACGCTGAAGCCTGACCAACAGCAAACTCCACCCATTCTCGTCACATTGAATCTGCGTCTGCACCAAGCTGTGGCCATCCTGGTCTTGCTGTCGTAGCTCGCTGCTCGAGCTTGCTCCGACCACACGCCGGTGTGGCGATCTCGAACGCGATAGCGCCCGACGTTCGGCTTCCTCAGCGCGGTAGCGCTCAGGGCGCAACGGGATTGCTAAGGTTTAGGGTTTAGGGTTTAGGGGAAAGAAAGCCCATCTAATCGGGTTCTACCGACACCTTATATGACAGACCCTGACTCGCAGGGCTTGCATACTCGATCTGATGAGCCCTGCTGTAAAGCCCTCAGTAACCCATAGTATACGGTACAGTATCTGAGCTGTTGAATCTCAATCTTCCTGCACATGGCAGAATGCACCTTAAAGCCCCCAAAGACCCCCGAAATAGAACCCAAGCAAGCAATCCCAGGTCCCAGAACACCAAACCCCAACCCTGAAGCCCTGAACGCGAAACTATCAATCGCAGACCCCTGAACTCCTGCACCCTCCACCAGGCTTCAATAATTAGAATACTGTTTTGGGGGCTTAAGATCGTATAGTTCGAATTCTCCCACCTTCATATTGCACCCCGAAAGGGACCGACCCTGAGCTCTAAACTCTAAACCCTTAAACCCAAAAGGGTTTAGGGTTTAGGTTTTAGGCCTGGACGTGAAAACCGTGGGGCTCCTGGGTTCAAGACTCGCCGAGACCGATTTCGCCACTTCCGTCGGCATCCAAACTTGACACCTCTGGCTGAGGGTTTAATGCAGGGGCCCTAATAATTCGAATAGGGTTTTGGAGGGCTCCTTATTATAATTATAGTATGATATACTCCAAACCCCAAACCCAGAACCCTAAACCCTAAACCCTATTCTAATTATTAAGGCCCCTACGTTAAGGTTTAGTTTTGCTTTTTAGGTTTAGGGAAGGGGGCTGAATATTTCCGCGGCTGAAAGCTGGGGGTTTAGGGCTTAGAGATTGAGGATTTCGGGTTTGGGTCTCGGGTTCGGGGTTGTTCTACGGGTTGAGGGTTTGAGGTTCGAAGCCCGAACTTCCAAAACCGTAAAATAGGTAGTTCTCCAAATTAGGATCCCGGTTAGGGTCCTTTGTATAAGGGTGCCGTACTATGTTGGTGACCTAGAAAGGGGCCCTAATTTAGAGAGCTGCCCAAATGAAGCTGTTTGGGGGAAAAGGAGTCTTGGCCTAATTCCTTGACCCCACTTAGAGCTTCGGCGTACTTCAAAAAACACAAAGCTCTGGCTATGACCTATATAGATATGATCTAAATGCCTGAGTTATAAATAGGACAGAAAAATCGAAGCATAGACACCCTAAACCCCAAACCCCTAAACAGGG